ATAATAACATCAAAGCTATAATCGTATCCAAAAGACTTAGGTGGTTTTTTTTATTTTTAAAAAGTCGAAAATTGACCCGGCTCCTCGGACCCAAAATCGGCTCTCTGGTCTGGTTTTGCACTTGGTCTCGTAACTTTGTTATTTACCACCCAAAATCAGTCATTTTTGATCAGCTATCTTACAATCAGCTCTAGAAGGTCCTCGAATTGAAAAATCGTCAATTTATGGAATTTTGTGATGGCATGCTAAAACGCGCTCCACGGGGGTTATTGTAGAAAACCGAAATTCGGGATTTTCGTGGTGTTTTTGCCATGGAATCGCTTCGATCTTTCGGTAAAAGCAATAGTAACAGTTTTTGGTACAACTGACCAAAAAATTTACAAGATTCTGTGACAGAATTAAAAAATGAGTTTTTAGACTTTTTTATGAAAGTTTGTGGATAGTACGCTCTCGTATTTGGCAGTAAGGTGCCACTACTTATTCCCTAACAACCCAGAAAATTTCAGCCGGATCGAAGCTAGGAGAGCCGAGAAAAGCGGGAAAAACGAAACCTACAGTACCCCACTGGGGCACGTTTTAGCAAGCAATACAAAAATACCATAGATTGTGGTGGGTTCTGGTGTGGAATCCGAGATTAATATTTGGATAGGTCATTGACAAAATATCAGCCATAGGCAAGCGAGTTATAAGCGAGTTATGACTCAAAGAACAAAAATAACGAAAACTCGCGAAAATTGTTTTGCTTTTAAAAATTGAAATTGACCTCGATAAATTCTAAGATTTTGCCATTACATTTCTACAAATTTATACTATTTTTAGACCAAAAATCTGAATTTTCTCACCACCCATTCAAGAACGCACAATTTTCGGTCGTAACCAGCGTCAATAGTACAGTTTCGTACTCAAAAATCGAAAAAATCAAGTTGTGTTAAATCTTCATGCCCAGCATATTTAAGCATTCTGGCATGGTAACGTACCTTCGATTCTCTACCGTTCGCGAGTTATTTCGACCCAAACTCTGTACTTTTTTTTTTGCCCACCCTGTAGTTAACTTCTAATATAGTTTAACTTTAATTTTGCCATTTGTTTGGGATATGCGAATTTGCGACTATCAAAAAGTTCCACAGAAAAAAAAGTTTCGCATTTTTCGGTGTTGCGAAGATTACGGGGGTCGTTAATTTGGCCTTCATTCGCTCTTGTAACTTTAAAAAAAATCAGTTTCTTGCATAAATCACCAATTTCATACGTGGTTAAATTAACCTATTTTACGGTAGTTTTAATTTTTCGCTTTGTCAGGGCAGGCTAGCAGAGATCATTTGGGAATAAGCTTCAATACATTAGCTAAATCAAGAGATACCTTTGCGTTTCGGTAAAACATTCATTTTTTAGTTTAGCGCGCATGGGCAGGCTAGCAGAGATCGTTTGCGGAATGAGTCTGCTAGCTACTTCCCGATTCCTTTAAAATCTCGGCCTGCCATCTGGCCGTTAGGGAGTACTCGAGCGGAACGAGTAGTGAAGCGGGGGAGGCAGCCCATAAATCGTAAAAAGCCACGGGGGGTTGAAGCGCCTTTATTGTGCTTTTCCGTTATTCTGACTGCGAGGGGCTTAACGGGCCCGTAAATCGGGCCCTTTAATGGGACCTAGGCCGCTCTCTCTCTGTCTCTCTCTCTCTGTCTCTCTCTCTCTCTCGCTCTCTCTCGCCTCTCGAATCCCCGAGATCTTGATGCAAGATAACCCCTAGGGGACCCCAAAAATTTTATGGAAGAGATCGGAAAAAATCGGCGAATTTATTAAATGTCTATAAAAATAAGAAATAAGCCACCAAGTCATGCCAAGATAAAAAAAATGTTTCGCAGAATCGCAAATTGAAGATATTTGAAAAGGCCTTAATGCATGTTCACGGAAAGTTGAAACATTGTCTTTACACAGTTACAGTTAATTGCCGAAGTGTGTAGGAAATTGCGAAAATCGTAATGCCGGAAATTAAGCAAGAAAATCTCACGACAAAACCCAAAAAAATCGCGCCGTCATTCGAAAACCCGCTTACCGAAAAATGAGATGAAAATTAAAGTGTTTCGCGTTTAAGAGCTCATAGACACTAAGTATTCTCCATAATTAGAGTAGGTTGAGTTGAATTAGTAGATTGAATGCCATAAAATCTCGGATTCCCCGATTTCCAGCAAAAATACCGCGAGAGCTGGCTCGCCGAGGGAATTTGGGACGTTTCGCCGGCTGATAGGATAAATATGCTTCATTTTTCTTATCATTTCATTACGATCTTTGCGATCAATTGATCAATTTGCCAATGGGAAGCCTAGCAGAGAATTTTGGGGGAAAAGCGACGTGGTAAATGCTGGGAAAAGCGGCTTGCAGAAAAATTTTGTGAACAGTTTTGCACTTTTATTTAAAAAGTGTATGGACATTCCTACCTTATATAATTTGGTCGCGTATCTTTGTCTGTGTGTGTGTGCGGAGGTCAGTTTCGTGGCTCGATTTGAGGGCCTTCCCGTGTCCAAAACGCCCTAATTCTCCGTCACCCGGGGGAATCGACCCTCCTCTTTCCGATGGCGTTTTCAGAATCCCGATAAAATACAAGCTTACAAAGTTAAAGCCGGTTTTATTGATTTTTAGGGGTCCGGGCAGGCTAATTTGCATAATGTGAAAAAAATACAAATTTCCTCATTCATGCCAGTTGCACTCGCCCGGGTGGTCGGCAGAGGGGAGGGGTCCGAAGGACCCGAGTGATCGGAAAGTCAAATTCATCATGCAAAAACCGCGTTCCAGCGCCCGAGGCCCGCGAAGCGGGTTTTGGGCGCTGGTTATACTATAAAAAGCGCCAAAATCTGGATTTTTTTGCTTTATTTTTAAGTTGTCGTCATCGTCAACGTTAAAACTGGGTCGGTAACGGTTTTAGAGGTCAAAGCACGATTTTATGCAAAAAATTCCGTGCTTTTGTGGAAAAAGCAAAGAAATCGTGCAGGGCCGGGGTTCGAACCGCCTCCCTGTACTTGGCAAGCGAACACCTTGCCAATACACCATGGAAACTCTTACAAATCCGCAAAAAATTTCTTGGAAAAGCGACGTCAAGATTTAGAAAAAGAGATTTTCACCTCAGAAACGCTACCAAAGAAGTTCGATTTCACGAATTTCTTGGTCTCGCGGCCTGTGAACAATTTTGCAAAAAAAAAAATCCATTTTTTTGGCAGGTTGACCGAGACATTTTAAAGCGCACGTTCAGGGATGGGCCGTGTACTCGTCCCAACGTGTACACCCTATGGACGTAGGGACCGCGCGCACGGCCTGCCCGTGCTGTGACAGGCCATTCCCCTCCTTTGTGGCGTGGGGCGCCCCTCGCCCCCTCGCCAGCTTGTAGCTGTGGCTGACTGGTATCCATCCGCGCCTCCCGAACGGGGCCCCGGGTTCGACCCCCGGCCGCGGCAAAAGTCTTTGGTTTTTTCCAAAAAAACGTCCCTGAATGTGCCCTTTAAAGAGCGATAAGGGTGACAATGGCTGAACCAATACAAAACGAAAATTGTAATTTGAGAGTTTTTGAAACATTTTAAGCTTTTAACGAAACGTACTGACTGTCGAATATTAATTTTGGCATTTCGAGGCGAAAGTACCAATTTAAAGCTTTGACTATAAGGATTAAAAAATCGTGATATAAATGCAGAAATGACAAAATTAACAAAAACGAAAACTAAAAAAACATGTTTCATCCAGCAACAATCACGAAAAATTTATCTTTTTGGGAGTTGTGAAATTAAAAGTAGCTCCGAATTTTCTAGGATCGTGCCTCGAGGATTTTGACGCCAGGCATAAGGACTCGTGCATGGGAGGACGGTGGCGACAGCAGTGGTACTTTGACCGGGCAAACAAGGCGAGCTCATTGGGGAAATGGGGAGGATTTTAAGGACTTTAAGCATCTATCGATATTTCATTAAACATTTACATTTATTTTAAGTTATGGCTAGCAGAAAAAACGCTCAATTACTGCATATTTTCAAAAAATAAAAACGCCTAAGAACGTTGAAACTTTAATTTTCCAAAAAATAATGTAATAAAAGCCTTATAATTTCTGTAATGCAAAAGTAACCCGATCAAAACGAATTTCTAGGGTTCATATCCTACTATATATAAAAAAATAGTTCCTGTGTGTGTGTGTGTGTGTGTGCCACTTTGCATCCAACTTCCGTCAGGTTGTTCCAGTCGTATCTCAAGGAGGATGGCAGCTAGGGGGATGTTTGATACGTCATTCGGTGCGTAATGGCCTGGGAACGACTGCACACTTATCATATTTTGTCAAATACGGTGTTTTCGACATTAAAATTAGGTTTTTCTAAAATTCTGGGCTTTCCTCTTTGTTAGGAATCAATTACCATACACCGGAAGTGGAGGCGGCTCATAAAAAGGAAGAAAGGCCGCACTCTTCACTTTTTTATGCTGGAATTCGGGAAGAAGCATGCAAATTGAGGATTTTCACAAGGCCTAGACGGGGCCAGGGTTGAAAAGCCGCGAAGCGGTTTTTCAATCCTGGTAAAATATTAAATATATTTTTGGTAGAAAAACAATAAAAAATGCGGCCGTTTTGTTCGAAAACCGGCCACTTTTGGCCGAGAATCGATATTTTTTTGTGTTGTGAACGGATAATTCGTAAAGTTTTTACGTGCAGGAATAGTAAAAAGGAGAAACACTTTCTTTATTTTTATTGGAAAAAGAAGAGGATGCTTAGAAACATAAGATTCATAGACCACGAAGATGAATCGAATTGGCATTTTGGACACACTTAACTTCCCGGAAAAAAATTGAAACATCAGAATAAACAATTAAAAATTCCGAATATTTCGTGCGTACGTATAAGTCAGATTTATTGATGAAATTCACAATCTTCAATAATATTTAGAACATGAACTAAATCCTTTCAGGAATGCACGGCATTTTGGTACGACGGCTGCCGGGGGGATGGGACGAATTTGTTCGAGGATGAGCAGAGCTGCTTGATGACGTGTGAGAGGCCGGCGAAGGAGGATGGTAGGGGTATTTGTATATTTTAATTATAGTCTTGTAATTTTAATGCGATATTTATTGTAGCAATTTTATTGTTAAGCTTGTTAGTTTTCGCCATCAGATGATTGTTCGATCAATGCTGTCTGATTCTAATCGGATTTCTGGATTTTTTGCAACACAGGATTTTTCAGTTACGAAACGACAGTCGTCAGTCTCTGTCTGTCTCTCGCTCTCTCTCGCTCTCTCTCTCTCCCTCTCCCTCACTCACTCACTCTCTCACGCTCTCTCTCGCTACCTCTCGCCCTCTCCCTCTCTCTCACTCACTCACTCTCTCGCGCTCTCTCTCACGCCCTCTCTCGCTCTCTCTCGCTCTCTCTTTCTCTCCCTCTCCTTCTCTCTCTCTCTCGCTTTCTCACCCTCGCTCTCTCTCTCTCCACTCGCTATTTTTTACTCACTCTCTCGCTCTCTCTCTCTCATTTCTCCAAACCTTTCAAACAAAAGGTAACATCGCCGAAATTACACAACGTATTTTCCGTTAAACTACCCGGAAGGTCGAAACACATTGTTTGCATTTTTTTGTATTCCTATATGGCAATTTTTTTCCAAAACACCCATTTTTAGCCTCGAAACCCTGGCACAAGGGCGAGAAGAAGAAGATGAAGGAGGTCGTCGGGCCGGTGTTTAGTAAGTTTTTGAGGCGCTAAACGTATGATCCAATAAGGATGTTTCATTTATTGTTGAGAAACTGTGACGCCTGAGGGGTATAATGCCGCCCAGCTCTGTAGCGCCAAAAATTCCTCGGCAATCGGAGAGACTATTGAAGGCGAAAACCCACTTTCTTCCATTTGGATACGGAAAACAGTATTTTTCTTTTGAAATTCATTAAAATATTCTAATTACGTTCCGGTAGTTTTCCGCAAGTTTGCGTTTTCTTAAATTCAAATTGAATCCGATTTCACGAAGCGAATAAATACCCTCTAAAGTCAAGAGGAATTAGAAGCACTTTCAAATTGTTATGTTTCGTCCAGAATGCGATAAGCAAAAAAATTTTTAGTTTTTAATGGCTCCTCGTTGTTCACGGATGCTCTAAAATTTTGAAATACGATTTGCAAAAATGTAATGTCAAAAAAACGGTGCTTATTGCCATCAAAAATTCTTTTTTTTAATGTGCCGATTCCAAACATGTTTTCAGAACCCAACTCTTCGAACATTTGCGAGACGGCGAATCCTTGTGAAAATGGCGCAAGCTGCCATTTCTCGCCGAGAAGAAATGATTATAAATGTCGATGTCTGAAGGGATGGACTGGAAAGAATTGCACACAATCTGCTGGTAAGGGGGGCAGGCTAGCAGAGATCATTTGGGATGAGAGAGAGAGGGGGAGGGGGCAGGCTAGCAGAGATCATTTGGGATGAGAGAGAGGGGGAGGGGGCAGGCTAGCAGAGATCATTTGGGATGAGAGAGAGGGGGAGGGGGCAGGCTAGCAGAGATCATTTGGGATGAGAGAGGGGGGAGGGGGCAGGCTAGCAGAGATCATTTGGGATGAGAGAGAGGGGAGGGGGCAGGCTAGCAGAGATCATTTGGGATGAGAGAGAGGGGGAGGGGGCAGGCTAGCAGAGATTATTAGACGAATTAGAGGTTTTAGAATTCGATCCCTGCTCCTCGAATCCATGCCAAAACGGGGCCACCTGCCAAGCCAAAAAAGAAAAAGGCCAGCCGACCACGTACGAGTGCTACTGTGCGCGGGATTACGGTGGCCCGAGCTGTGATCAGCGTAAGTTTATTTGCCATTTTTATGAGTATATTCCCCTCACTAGAACGTAAGAGATTTTATCAAGAGACGAGAAGTATTTTTTTTCCAATTTGATGTTTCATCTATACGAGCAGAAAACCAGAAAGGCTTGGATTTAATCCTTCGCTTCTGAACCTTGAATCAATCTATTAAAGGGGCCCAGAAATGCCAAAAATTGAGTGACGGCCCGAAAATGGGAGCCCTGTACGTGGGAGGCCTCTGTACACCTAGGGGCGCGGGAAGCTCGCAAATTTGAAACAGCCTGTTTCACCTCGAAATCCCATTCTCGGCTGTTTCTGGGCCAAATTTGATGCTTAAAACACCAGAACTATTTAAAATTGAGTGAGGATTTCAAAAATGGGCTCAGAATGCGCGAATTATAGTGTTTTCACAAAGAAATCGGGCAAAAAAAGTTTCGCGCAAAAAGCGAAAGGGTGAGGGCTCTCGTCCCGCAGCGCCCGCTGGCAATTTGCCAGAAATCAAAGAGCCCTCCCAAAAGGGCTTTGATTTGGCAGTTCGTAGCCCCATTAAACTTATCCGTTACTTTTTTCGTACCAAATTAAAGGAGCTTGAACAACGCTAATTTTTCAGAAAACCAAACGACTTTTTTGAGTTTTTATGTTTCATCGACTTCTGGTTTTTCCCGATAATTCTTATGTTTAATAATAAGCATTTTATGGCAATAACACCTTTCATGTTTTTCGCCTGATTAAGCTAGTAGCAATCACCAGTTTTATCTCAATTTTCACTTTTTTAAACTATTTTTAAACTTTTATGTTTCATCTAGGTCGCAGCAGGCACAAAAATTCAGAGTTATAATGATCCGATCCGATTTCTCTTTTACATAAATTTTTTGGTGATATTAAAAAATCGAAAAAATTAAAAAATAAATTAAAAATTGAAATCGAAATTTGAGAAAAGAAAGCGAAAAATAAGAAAAAATTGTTCGGCAGGCGTTAAAAATCTTTATGTTTCATCGAAATTAGAGGTGCAAACATTTGGTATTTCTAATTAATCGAGAACCGCCAGATCTTTCTTTGTATTTATCACCTTTTCTGTATTTATCACCTTTGCTGTTTAAGAGAGGTTAGTTAAATGAATTGGATTAAAAAAAAAGAATAAATAGAATTAAAATATAATAAAAATTAAGCTGAAGGATAAATTAAAAATCATCTTTTGAAAGCTGATGTTTCATCAAAATGGCAATCAGCCAACAATTCAATGGTTTTAATCTCAAAGTAGTCCCGCTAAACGAATCATTTAAAAATTTAATTATTTTCCATATTAGAAAAATTATTGGATCTCGGTTAACCAATTAAAATTCGAATTAAAGTATGGTTTTTAGTGGAAAACAATTAGTGGAAAAATCTATTACTTCCTCTACGTATAGTAGAAAATTGGATACGTAGGTGGTTGCCCCCCTCCCCCCGATAATGCCAAAAAGCCATTTGTATCTGATCTATTATAGTTTTTATTCAGGCCCCTGCGAGCAGAACCCGTGCCAAAACAACGGCACTTGCCGGACGACGCGCTCCCATCAGCTGTATTTCTGCGATTGCCCGAACGGGTTCGGGGGCCGCGATTGTGATGTTGGTGAGTCAAATTGGGCTTTGTAAAATATATTTAATAAGGTGTGCTAAATAAAAACAGTAAAATTTTGTATTAGTTTTTATTTTTAATTAATTTTTCAAAATTTCAAATGCAAAAGTTTTTAGAAAAAAGTGTTACGACAATATTTAAAAAAAAGCCCGGGTGATACGGTTTTACTACCAATCACGCAGTTGTCCAATATGTGGTTAAAATTCATTTTCAAAAATCAAAAATAAAACATTTTTCAATAAAGTCATTACATTAAATTTCAGTAAGTGAGAAATATGAATAGTTAATGATAAATTAGCTGCATTATTTATGAAAAATGGCCGGAATGTAGCGAAATTATCGAGTCGCACGTCAAAAATTGATGTTTTAAACAGATTTCTGAACAAAAAATTGTTCCTTTGCCTATTGGTTTCAATGTGCTGCATTTTGATTAGACGCTTTTTAGATTTCCGGCATAAGTCATGACAACTTAAAACTTAACTTAAAACTTTTAAAACTATTTTGAAAAGCGTATTTCGATGTTTTCCACAAATGAACCCTGCTCGTTTGCCACGGGCAACAAGCTTGTTCCGCAAATTGTCTCGCCTAGGGCAGCTCTGAATTGCACCATGCTTGACCAAATTAAGTCGAAATGGAATATGAAAACATTGAGCTGCGACGAAACACATTTTTTGATATTACAAAAGGAATGTATCTAAGGTATTTCGAAATCCGAATCCGGCGCTAATTTTTTGCATACATGTAGCATTTGGCAGTGTTTTCCGAGAGATTTGCTTATGTAAATTTCGACGAATAAATTCAAAATTTTCAAAGTAACTAATTCGAACCTTTCTTTATAAATTTGGCTTATTTTTTTAGCGATCTTAATTTCCAGCAATCGGCCAGACGCCCCCGGAGAAATTCGGGAAAAACGTGGAGCAAGTGTCTTCCGGGCGGGCCGAATGGGTCAACGAGATGAAGGTATGTTTTTATTTTTAAGCTTATTGTTTTTGTCACCGCGCGATGCGCAGGCGTACGCCCGTATTTACATTGTGTAATCGATTACGACGCCAAAAAATGGTTTCGGAATCATGTTTCATTTTTTTAGGCGCGCTCTTCGAAAAAGATTGGTTCTCAATGCATCGCGCAGAGCAATCTCTCAAAAAAATGAAAAAAATGTTTTACATCTAATACATTGCCTCAGCAAAAGGTTTGATTACTTCGCTTACTTTTGAAACGAGTCAAAAAATTCCGGGAAATGATGGCCCTCGAAAATTCAAGTTTCCGGGCTAATGTTTCATTCTTTTCTTACATAACGCTATTAGAAAATAGTGGCTCTTAATTGTTGGTTTTTTGCCACGTGCAGCACGAAATTTTTATAGATTTGATGTTGGTATCTTTAAAAGACTAAACCTAGTCAAAAGCTGCCGCCGAAATGATAGTATGGATTGTCACAATCTATACGCTTGCCTTGCTGGGTCCTTTAAAAAAAGCGAACAAATTTTGGGATGCCAGAATCATGTTCCAATTCTATGGCACTCTCACTCGAAATAATATTTTTTAATCATCGGTGGGACGTACACCTGGAAAAACTAGCCATGTTATTGGTTAGAGTTTAAGTTAAATTTTTTTCCATTTTTTGATCAATAATTCTGATCCTAAATAATCTCTGCTAGGTGACAACAGAAAATTGATGCTTTTTAATAAATAAATAAGTATAATTCAATTTTTTACAATTTTTACGCTTTTTAGCTGCGCTTCGCCAACAAGAAAAAGAGTGACACCGACGATCCGGAAGGGGCGGCAGCCGCCGCGAAAGAAGCCGCCGCCGCCGACGAGCCGTATAAAGGTATCGCTGCGTACTTTAAATCGGTAAAAGAATTAAAATTGGGTTTTCATCAAAAAAATGTAATAAAACTGGAAATATTGGAACTTTTTTAGTTTTTTTTTAAGGAATTCTTCTGGTTTCTAAATTGCTATACGTAAAATTTTTTTATGTTATTGACAAACATGCAACATTTTAATTTAACATTTTGAAGTTTTTTTGGTTTTACAGCAGAATTTAATAAATATAATGATTATATAATCTAATTTTAGATAGATTTTAGATAATTTGCGATAATTTAATTATTCAATTCGATATACGCTTATACATTTTGGTCAAATAACTTTTAGCAGAAAATTTAAGAATTCGTATTCGGTTTCCACAAGTTCCAACCGCAAATTGAATGGTTTCGATTTTACCGAAGAATGCAAAAATTTGAAACTTTTTAATTTCATGCTCCAAAAATTTTTTAGTAAAAAAATATCTAACTTCAGCCCTTATTGACTATAAAATTAATCACAGGGTAATTAATATTACAAAACCAATTATTTTTCTTAAAAAAATTGATTGAACCTTTTAATTTCTAGATGCCAAGCAAAAGAAGCGAGAGCGTGAGGGAGAAGGAGGAAAAGGAGAAGCTCGAGGCGGCCGCCATCCAGAAGGCCGAGGAGGGCAAGCGGAAGAAGGCCCAGCAAGAGGAGCAGGTAGGCTAGCAGAGGCAATTTGGGGAAATACGATGGAATATGGAACTGTTCGAACCCATTAAAAACGAAGGTTTCAAAAATATTGATGTTACTCGAGCTATGAAACATCATTAATTTCTTGATGGCATTTTCAAAAAACTAGCTGCTTTAAAAACTACGAACTAGCAGAGGGAACTTGGGCAAATACGATGGATTAGTCGAGATCGGATCCAGCCAGTGATTAATATGATTAAAAATATTGATGTTACACTTGTTATGAAAAAACCATTAGTTCGAGGATGTTTTGTAGAAATTTACAAAAAAAACTTTGCAGTTCCAAAAATACGAACTAGCAGAGGAAACTTGGGGAAATGCGATGGCAGATTCCCAGAAATTTAGCTGCTGATTAAAAGTTTCAAAATTTTTTGATGTTAGTCGCGCTGTGAAACATCTAATTTCTTGTTGACCGTGTAGATGATTTTGTATTAGACTTTTAGCGGGGACGCCAAAATTTTGCTCGGTAGTCCCGTACGGCCCTGTAGCGAATTATGAGCCATTTTTATAGGATTTTACATGGATTTTTACATATAAAAACTAGAAAAAATTTCCGACGTTTTTGACTTTATGTTAAAAATGACCAAGAAGGGCCACGCTCTAGAATTTTAAAATTTTAAAACCATTTTTGATATAAAATATTTTAAAAACATCATATAAATTATCTGGGAATTTAAGGTGTAGTCAGCTAGCCGTGATTTTTTGGGAAAAGCGTAAAATAAAAATAATACAGAAAGTCATGGACGACCAAAAGATGGGTATTAGCGTGCATAATAGCCACAAGAATTCTACGATTTGTGAAACATCTTAATCCTTGGCCGACTCGACCTTTTTGTGGCAACTAGCTGAGACTTTTGGGGGAGAGCATAAGCAATATTTACATATTTATATTATAAAAAATGGGTTTTAAAACAAATTAAAATCCTCAATTTCTTGATTCTTTTCCTTTATTAAATTCGAGTTTTTCAGGAGGCCCTGCAGCGAGCCAAGGAAGTAGCCGCGAAGACCGAGAATTCCGGCAAAATTTCCGGATTTAGCTATGTGCTAATTTTACTCTTTTTATCAGCTAGGTTCCGATTTTAATTTACAAAAATTAACATTCAAATTTTGTAAGAATTGATGTTCTACAAAAATAACAATTCATGAAAACAAACTTTTGCCTAAAAATGGCTTCTTGCTGCCCCCCCTATTTCTATTACGTGTATCACTTCCCGCATCGAATCACATATTTTTTGCCATTTTTAAAATTAGCGTTTTAATGCTAATTTTAGAATTATTATAAATGTTTTTTTATTAATCCTCCTTTCTGCTTTGTATTTTAGAAATTTTTAATGAAAGATTTTTCCAGCTGTTTTGCATTTACAAAACTTTGAATGCTGTGGATTACTGTATTTTCCGTCTTACTGTATCTGGAATTTTTAATTGGGAATAAATTATTTTAATTCAAGAAGGACCAAACATGCATTGGCAGGCAAATGACGAATTAATCTTTAGAAATGGATGAAACATCAAAAAAATACGCAGAAATACGCAAAATACGCAACCATCGAAGTTTTATATTTCTTACTAAAGTGAATTGCTGTATTTTCTGTCATATTCTAACTAAATTTTTTTGATAGGCAATAAATTATTTTAATTCGATTAGAAAAGAAAGGTTGATTGGCATGGAAACTCTGAATTTATCTTGAGAAATACTTGAAACATCAAAAAAATTTCTACAAAATCACGAGAATTGATTTTTGCTGCCATATTGTACCTGGCAGTTATAGTGGGCAATAAATTATTTTGATTGCATTGCGCTTGTACTCATAATTAGAAAGAAAATTACAAATTTATATTTGCGAATTGTTGAAACATCAAAAAAATGAAAAAATTCTATGAAAACGAAAACGCTAAATCACTTAAATCATATCAAATTTATTTATTTAGTTTGTATTGATTTTTTGGGTACTGTATTTCATAGATTTGATGTTTTTTGCACCTCGAATGTAATCCTTTTTTATTTTGAGAAATTGGTTTGCTAAAGCGATGAAAAAAAATTAGTGATCGGCCAAATCACAAGTTATTCTGGGGTTTTCTTGAAACATTAGAATTTAAAAATCGTGACATTAAAGTCAGTACATTTTCATAGCAAGGAATAATCACAATATGAGGACACGCCGAAATACTTTGTAGATCGGTAAAAAAAACAAAAAAGTTGTAAAAATCTTTAATAAAAATTCAATGCAGCAGCCCGTAATTAACCGAGAAAGAATAAGATCGATACAGCAAAAAAAATGGATAATATGGGGTACGGTAGGGTAGGATCTTTGATTAATTTTTGGGTAAACTAGAAAATTTTAACTTTTAAAAACATCATCTGCCTTTAGAAAATTCATCCAAAATAACAGAATTTTGTGTGTTTCAAAACAATGTGAGTTTGGGCAACAGCCAAACGTATCGATTTTCCTTGGACCAAATCCAAATATTTGATTCTGAGAATGAGACGTAATTTTTCTCATATAAATCCAGGAAGTTTTTGCCACTATTCTTTAATGTTCCTGAACGTAAACTTTACCAAATTTGATTAAAATACAAAAAAATCACGATTTTTCCACCAAAATGTCGAATTTTTAAAGATTTTGTGACCTTCTCAAGATAGTTTTTTAATTTGGCTACTAATTCTACGAAAATAACATTAAAAATCATTCCGGACTTGTACAAAAAAAATCCTCAGAAACGCCGGACTAAAAATTATGTTGCGAAAACCTATAATTCCGGAAAAATTTTGTGGTGGGTAATGCTAGAAAGTGGAGCCGATCTCCTCGAGGCGAAATACAAACAATATCCATTTTTCTAGCAAAAATAGGGACTTTTTAAACGTTTGCTACGGTTTTTAGAAAGTTTTTCCAACGTAAATATTGTTAAATTGGTAAAAAGTTTTACGTTACTTACAATAATATTACTGGTCATTTTTGAAGCAACCAAAAAATCTGAAAACCCGAAAAACCCGGGAAAATCGGAACTTTAAAGATTATGTTTCAAAAAACTGTAGGTTCCTTACAATTTTGGGACGCGAATTCTTGTATGGCAGGTAAGGAAGTACCGTAAACCGTGATTACGGCATCATCGTAGTGGCTACCGTAGCCATCGTGTGATTGGTGATCGTGTGATAGGGAAAAGTTCTCGGGCTCAAATCGGGGTTCTCCTTGAGCTTCAGCAGCAGGAAGGCATAGGTGATGATCACCGAGACGAGCTGCAAAAAATGGATTTTAGCTATTTTATTTTTTTTTCTCCGTTAAAAGAGCCGCAACCTCATACAAGAGCTAATTAGAATCCTTCCAAAAATCGCGCTTTTTAAAATTTGCTGACACATTTTATTTTTGATCACAATTTTGGAAGACCAGAAAAATCGAAACTGATTAAAAAATAAGTTAAATATTATACAATTAAATAAATGTTTAGTCAATTGAAAATAAAATAAAATCTATTATTTCAATTCCTGACAATTCTGAATTTATCCGTTTACAAAAATCAGAGAGGTACAAGTGGCGAATTGAAGTTAGCTAAATTTCATTTATAAAATTCGGAAGGCGAAACATTTTTTCAGAGGATCGTAATATTGCGAGTCTGGCAGAACATCTTAAAACCGCTGCAAAACAATTCAAGGGTTTTTACGTTTTTTTTTCTTTCGCGTTTTGTCGTTTTTTTAAGTATCGTAAGAAGCACGCACAGATTTTATACCTGAATACCCGAATACCTTATACCTCATCATCGGTACACTAATATGAGTCAAAACTCTGGCCAAATGGCCGTGGCACGAAACATTTTTGTTTGAAACGTGTTGCAACGCTTTGAAAATAGTCTGACTTTCTGATTTTCGGATTGTGCGAATAGGTAGGTCGAAAGAGCGGAGGAGGAAGAAAGTTTTTTGAGGAAAAAACACTTGTTTGTTAGTTTTCTGAAACACACTATATTACCAAAAGAGCACAAATTATTTTGCCCAATGATCCTTTAACAAAATATCAAATCATGTTTATAGCATTTTACACGTTTTTAGATAGGCAAAATTCATAAAAAACCTTAGAAAAAAGTTGCCAACATTTTTTTTACATTTTTGTTGATTACCGGGCTTCAATATGAAGGGGTTAGTTTATATTCGTGTACTTTTAATTAGCAGTTGTATTAAAATTATAAAACTGGCAGTAAGTTGCCCCAACTTCGAGAGAATCTTATTGGCGTTTTGGCAACCAACCCGAGATTGATTATTTTAGAAACATGCAGTTTTCAAAAAAAAATACTACGGCACTATCGTGGCAAAATATCATTGCGTAAATTGTAGTATTTTGTTCGCTTTTTTATTTATATTTATAGTGTTGAATACAAATATAAATATGAAATAGCGATAAAGTACGAAAACTATCTGAACTGATACATACTTTCTTTACGTTGAGCAACTTAGAAAATCTTGACAAAGAAGTTGAACTTAATTATCCAATTATTTTCAAAAAAATATTATAGCATCGTGGCTTCACAATTACGACACAACAATATTCAGGCGTATCGTATATTATGTCAGTCATCTCCAAAACATTATAAAAGCAATTTTTTTGGGGGTGTTGTCAACAGTAGAAACATATACTTTCAAAAAATTTTGAACGCTCTACGCTAGTAAATAACCTCGCATAGTTTTCATATGTCTTTCTTGAGAAATATAAACAAAAATTACCGTAAAAAACGTAGTCCGCTGCAGCAAAAAGGCCCGCCACACCGTCATGCCCCACATGAATTGCGTCGTCATCTTGTGTACGAAGCATGAGATCTAAAAGTAAAAAATACGCAAAGGTAAATTGTTTTAAAGAAACCGGCAAGGCACGACTATATATAAGTTTTTAGCTTAATTTTTTTCAGCTTCCGCCGCGATACGCAACGCGCACGTGCCGCAAGGGCATGACCAAGGCCATTTTAATCGAGGACGCAATGAAAGCAAAATAGATAGCGAACCATAGCAAAAAAAAGCCAGAAAAAGGAAGTTTCAAGAATATAAATGCATGTTCGCGCTTTTTTCTGGTTAATTGGCCCTTCAACTCTCGAGGCAGCTAAAACGCGTAGTAATCAGACATTTATAGATATATCTACGAACCCTTGCGAAAATCTCGCAAACCAAAATGCCGACAAGAAAATTGCTATGGACAAAAATGCCGACAATATCTCATGATCTCGTCAGGCAAAAATCCCGAGCGGCAAAATTATAGATTTTGAATGTCGGGATCATGCTGGTCGGTATCTGGGTTGTCGTGATTTCAGTTGTCGGGATTCTGGCCGCCGGGATTTTGGCTGTCTATTCTCGATATCGGGTTTTTCGAGTTTTCGTTATCCAAACTACCTATTTTCCCTTTAAGTTCATTAAATGTGATCTGCCTATTCGAAAAGGCCAAATAAAACAAAACCAAAACCGAGAAAATTTCCAGGAGAAATCTATATGTTTCAACAATCTGCTGAGGAAGAGTGAAACATTTTTACTCCAATTTTTTGTTGTGTAGGTGTTGATAATTCCGATCTCAAGAAATAATATAATTGCATTAAAAATTCTAATTTTAATTTTATCACCTGAAACCGGTCGAGATCGGCGTTGGCGTCGGGGACGATCCGGAGCACGTGGTCGACAATTTCGCGGGTCTAAAAATAGCAAAACCTGTGGATTCTTGGCTTGCCAAGCACTTTAAAGAGACGGAAAAGGCAAGAAATCAATTCCCAGATTCTTAAAGAATCTGTTCTGGGTTTCCCGGCTCTAGAAATCACTAAAAATTGCGAAAAAAACCCGATAATCAACTATAATAATTCGCTAGAGGCGTCAGTGTGAGTGAAGCCGAATTCAACTCGAAGGGCTTCGAACTAGAAATCAAGGTGAATCCGTTTTACAATTCCTAACCATTTTCTATAAAAAACTATGGATGTTGATGTGAATTACCGTTTCATTCGTCTGCATCCCTGCCGAGCAGATGACCAGGATGTTCAGCGCGGCCACGATTACCTGAAAAAATGAAACGTTTCAAAGATCTCGGGGCTTTCGTGGAGCTACGGGCCTCTTAATGAAGACCCGGTTTTTTGTTGCTGATGTTAAGGGCATCACTCTAAAATTCTCCAATTCTCTCTCGTTCTCACTCTCTCTCTCTCTCTCTCTCTCACCTGTATCAAACTCCAGCCCAGGGCGAACGCCACCTTCTTGTTGAGCAGCTCCACCATCCCGGGCTTCTTGTGGAATTCAGGAGAAATTGGGTCGACCAAGCTGAAAAATTTAGTTCCTCAATGAATCTCTGCTAGCCTGCCCCCTCCCCCTCTCTCTCATCCCAAATGATCTCTGCTAGCCTGCCCCCTCCCCCTCTCTCTCATCCCAAATGATCTCTGCTAGCCTGCCCCCTCCAAAACTCACGTGGAAGCTGGCTGCGTTAAGAAATAGATCGTCAAACACAAAATCGCCATCGACCATGCCAACGAGAAGAAGACGAACGGGTTGAATAGCGCGCCAATGGCTTCCTGAAAATTTTTTCTGCATAAACTTGCAGGGGCGAGCTAGCAGAGATCCTTTGCGGAACCCACCTGCACATTGGTGATCCTCAAAAATTGCTCGTAGTAGAATTTCAGGCTAAAATGGCGTTTGTGGTGCTCCTTGTCGAGGGAGCTGATCAGCACCCGGCAGTAAAACCTGGAAAGGGTTATGTTTCAGATTTTTTCGGTTAAAATATAGGCCAAAAAAAGCTATTCTGTTGCCAGTCGTTGTTGGTCCTGCTAAAATTTGTTTCCGAGACTCATGCACTTGGAAAATAATTTTTTTCCTCGGGAAATCAATGTGCTTTATAGAAACTTGGTATTACGCGCAACTGGAAATACTTGATGACAAAAAAATCTGGATTGACAGCTTTTTAAAACTTAAAACCACGAAGGCTGAAGAATTTAATTAAGGTAAGTTTTGGCATAAACCAATTCCATTTTACCCAATTTCAAAAAATCGAAGAAGCTGATTGGTTTTGTGCGTTTAAAATTCAGGTCATTTTCGGGTAATGTTGTTCAAAAAGCCGGCTAAAATAGATCTTGATCAGACTCTGGTGATTGTGCCCCTCTTAAAATCAACACTTTGATTTGTTGTATCCTAGGTTAAATTAGATCAATCAGGCGCCGGCGTTGAAATTGACGAATTTTTCAAAAAAAAATGTGTTTTGTAGAATTTCCCTATTCCCGGATTTTCCGAGGTTCCTAATGTGACGCGTTGCATCGGCGTATTGTTGCCTAGGGCCTAATTATGTTAAAGCAGTTTTGTTTTTTAATATAGATTTTTCTAATTGTGATTTAATTAATTTAATTACTTGAAAAAGTTTTGCCTACGGTACGAAAATGTATGAAATTTCCCGGGGAAAAAAAATGTGTTTTCTAGAAGTTCCGTGTTCACGGATTTTGCAAAGGCGTTAATGTGCGGCGCTTTACTGAAGCCTTAGTTTATGTAAGCTATTTTTCTTTTTCTCACTGTTATTGATTCGAATCTGAATTTATATAGTTTAACTTACTAAGGGAAATATTAGGTTTTCTTTACCGTACGATAAATTACGAATTTCTCAAAAAAATATGTTTTATAAAATTTGGCTATTTTCAGGTTTTGCTAATTGGTTAATCGCGATGTGATTGTTTCCTCAATCAAGTTAAGTTGTTAAATTAGCTATGATTTTTCAAAGCTTTTAATGTTACTATTTTTTATTTCATTTGATTGATTAGTTTAGTACATTCTAAAGCTATTCCCCACCGCACGATCCGATTATACATGTCGTAATACAACAGCGGGACAATGTTCCATAGCGACAGCATCGGCACGATCAGGAATGACGCGTCGGCCGCCGTCCCGAGGCTGAAATTTAATTTTTAAAAATTAAATTTTGAATTTTCAAATGAAATAGAATATTTTTTAAAGACACAGTGACGGCGCGGCCTAGGATTTTTCTTGCCGAGAAAGCAGCGTGAAAATTGACTTTTTATTTTTTAATTTCGAAGTTTGAAAAAATAGAAATGAACCCTAAGCCTAAGCCGAAGCCTAAGCCTAAGCCGAAGCCTAAGCCTCAGCCTAACCCGAAGCATGAAATTGCGTTGAAATTTTCCACGCATTCCGTTGCCGTAAATTCTGGCGATATTGAACAATTTTGGTCGAAAAATCGATATGTTTGTATTTTTTTATTAAAATTTAGAAGTTTTAATAAAACGTTTATGAATAGTAACAAAAGCTTACAAAACATTTCCTCTATTTATTTTTAAAAATTAGGACCTTAGAAAAATTTGGTCCTCACGATAATGCGCTGAACAATAAAAATAGGGTTGCATTTTTCGCTTAAATTTTATTAATTAAAATTACCGATTTAGCGTCAAGTTTATCGATTAGAAAAGCATTTATTATTGATTTGTTTCAGAGCTTTCAATTAGTTTTTGTGTTTCAAAATTGCAGGGTTTACCGAGCCACAGCTAAATTATTATTTTCAAAAATGATTTTGTGTTATTAAGAATTTTTGAAACTTACATTGATGCGCTTTTCGCCGGTTATTTTTTAGCATACGAAACACAAAAACGTTTCCGCTGCACATACAATAAATAAATAAATGAACAATTAAATAATAAGCATGGCACCGGGACCACGGACAGACACGCTCTCGGCCATCACTTAAAGGGACAGGCAAGACGAGTAGCAGCGGGAGTATCGACACGGTTTTCAAGATTTTTACGTTTTTAAAGGGACTGGCAAGGCAAGGGCTTGGATTTTCGATTTTTCGCGCCGCCGCGCGCTACGCACCCGCTCGTATTTTCGTGGCGTAATCGATTCCAAGGAAGGCGTTTAGGTCCCAAAAGTTCGATACTTTCCCTAATTTTTCGGGCACCATTCAATAGGGCATTGGAGAATTTACTAACAGCCTTGATTTCGGCTCAAAATGACGTCAAAATAAAATCTTTACGCGCTAAACTAAATTTAAACGATGTTTTCGAATTCGAAAAAACGTACTTTTTCGATTTTTTTGGAAATTTCGTGCGCGTCATCCGATAGCGCATTAAAAAACAATTCCTAATAGTTTTAATTACAAAAAAGTGCCTGCAAAAAAAGCAATAAAAATACCTTAAGAATTCTATCTAATGTGTCGTAATAGATTACGCAATGAAACGGCAAATGAACGGCGAATGGAGCGCGTTGCGGGCTGCGGCGCGGCTAAAACGACAGAGAAAATAGCGATGCCTTGCCAGTTCTTTTAAAAGACAATAAACGGAGGCCAGGCTAGCCTACTAAGAACGAGCACTTGCACCGATTTTTCACTGGCTCAGACTCGTCATGCTTACCCAAAAACGTACTCGCCACGCTGGTTTCTGAAAACGGAGGGTAGCCGTTAAATTATAACACCATTATTTCATACAAATAAAATATAATATTAATAATAAATATTAATCAGACATTTAAATTAGATCAGCAGTTATATGCCTCGAAATTTTTTGGCAGAAAAATGTTTCGTAATTTTATGTGATAAAATTTGTTTTTCAGGTTCTACTGTTCACATCCCTGACCGTTTAAATTTTTTTGAGGAAAACAATGCAAATCTAATCTTTTTAGCGCTCAAAATTGTGGTAATTCTACAAAATAAAAAGATTAGCAATAGAATTGCTATAATAATAATAAGGAAATGAAATAAAAATCTAATTCCAAGCTATGCCGAAAACCATAATTCGCGAAATTTTTCAGGTGTTTCACCAAATTTTGGGAACGCGCGATTTTTGATTACTGCAATTGACATGCTGCTGCTCATGAATATACAACTGAGAGATTCCGAGATTTTTAAAGCAATTTAGAGGCATGGCCAAACGTTAAAAATTCAAATTGGCTGAATCGCACCGATTTTCGATGATTCGATAAAAATATTATGCTAGCATATATAATCGAATAAAACTAAAAATTTTTTGAATAAACTAAGTTAAAAATTCAAACTGATGAAAAATTAAAAGCAAAAAAGTAGCTTTCAAGGCAATTGGAAGAAGCAAAAAATGTTCCGATTTCAATCCCTTTTTGTGAAAAGTGGTAGAATAATTTCAAACCCGAAAATACTGCCGGCAAAAAGGTGTAAATTAACAAATCTAATATAAGCTATAATTTGAGCTCCTAAATGCTACGGAAAAATTGTCGATTCCTTAAAAATCCCGACCCATTTTGTGACAAAAAAAAATGTGTTTCAAAAAAATTAGTTTGTGCCGGCGGATGGTTTAGCTTTAATTCTTCATCTTCTCACTGCATAAACCATGTTTTGCAAAACTTCGGATCTGCCGAAAAGTTTTACAGGTTTAATTCCTCGTTCAAATTGGGTAACCTACATTTTGCGATGCAAATTTGCTAAAAAAATGTGATTTCTGCCCGGATTTCAGAATCCCCATGTTGAGAAAAAATGTTTCGACAAATTAGGTATAGCCCGAAAATGTTTAGCGATTAATTCTTGTTGGGCAACGAGGAAAACAATACATTCTGCGTGTTTAAATTTCCTAAAAAGTGCCTATTATAGCCTGACCTAATAGTCCCCCTATTAGGAAAAAATTTTGAAAAAAAAATGTTTCGAAGCAATTTGATTAATCCGGGAGAAGGTTTGGCGCTTAATGATTTTCTTAATTCAGCTGCGACACTGGAATTTTAGCAAGCAAATTTGTTAACAAGCGCCAGATACATCTTGTTTTAATAAGCACCTCGTATCAGGAGAAATGTTTCAAAAAAAAAATTGGTTATCCCGAAAAATGCGTGCTTTTAGTGATCTGTGTAGTCAGATAAATTGAATGATGATTTAGCGAAGGTTTTTGCTTTTACATACCTGCTGCCAAATGAGATGAACTCGACGCAGAAGAGGGCGAACGTGCCGAGGAAGAAGGCGAAGGAGACGAAGAAAAAGATGAGGGAGTATAGACGGATTGGGGGAGTCGTGTGGAAGGCAGCACGGAAGCACAGATCCACCTGAAATTGAGTGGGCTTCGCAGCCTAGCAGAGATCATTTGGGATGAGAGAAAGGGGGAGGGGGCAGGCTAGCAGAGATCATTTGGGATGAGAGAGAGGGGGGGGGGCAGGCTAGCAGAGATCATTTGGGATGAGAGAGAGGGGGAGGGGGCAGGCTAGCAGAGATCATTTGGGATGAGAGAGAGGGGGAGGGGGCAGGCTAGCAGAGATCATTTGGGATGAGAGAGAGGGGGAGGGGGCAGGCTAGCAGAGATCATTTGGGATGAGAGAGAGGGGGGAGGGGGCAGGCTAGCAGAGATCATTTCGGATGAGAGAGAGGGGGAGGGGGCAGGCTAGCAGAGATCATTTGGGATGAGAGAGAGGGGGAGGGGCAGGCTAGCAGAGATCATTTGGGATGAGAGAGAGGGGGGAGGGGGCAGGCTAGCAGAGATCATTTGGGATGAGAGAGAGGGGGGAGGGGGCAGGCTAGCAGAGATCCTTTGGGATGAGAGAGAGAGGGGGAGGGGGCAGGCTAGCAGAGATCATTTGGGAATGCCTGTTTGCAGTCGGAGATTTTACGCTAAATTGGAAAAGGTTTTTCACAATTTTGAGTAGCTGAATGCGGGCGAATCTATAATGCTTGGACGATCGCTATCGTAAAAAATCAGTGGGAGAGGGAGAGAGATAAAATAAAACACCTACCGTATCCACCGTATTCACTAGTCGATAATGTGCGCTGATGTTCATGATAAAAAGCGCGATCACCACCGCATTAACGAAAGGCTTGATCCCGGATACGATGGAAGATACTGTACACGTGTGCATCAGCCCGAATTGTTGCTAAATTTTGGGAAGTTTTCTAAATTCACCGACGAAAAATAATAGGTTTCATAAAAAATTGTCTATCGAAATTTTTCGAGATTCTTAATCGGTCTTGATAATGGGAGGCGAAAAATCACAAACACTTTTTAATCTTTATTAACATTATTGGAAAATTTTAGCAAAAAATATTTTAATTTTGGAGCAAAAATGTTGTACATTTTAAATGCTAAAAACCCAGATCGAATGGTTAGTGAAAAAAATCATATGAAAATGCTAAACGGTCCAAAACAATTTTCAGAAGAATTTGGTATCCGGAATTTTTCCTAGAAGGCTTATCATGATCTTCGAGTTGGTTACTTGCTGTTTTTCGGCAGATTTTAAACTACGGTTAATCGATAAAAACAAACCCTAAATCTTTCAAAATTTCTACCTGATAAAAGAGCATCAGCCAGACGTTCATCTTGAACAACCAGCAGTTGAGCAGGATGATGAGGGCGGCGAACGTGTACAGGGCAAAGTATTTCTAAAATGGATTAGATACATAAATAACAAATAAGTGGATTGAATTAAAGCATTACAGACTAGAACAAAAACCGGAATTTTATGTGTTTCAAAGAAAAGTGTGGAGGAAAATGAAAATGGGTTCCTTAATATGTTTGAGATGCGAATTCCTTTACTCAGAAAACTGAATTTCTACGCGGATTTAATTCGTGACCCAGCGTATCTTGTGCAGAATTTTGCGCTGATTCCAAAGATGTATGCCAGATTTTTGGAATCGCGCTTTTGTGAAAGTTATGGACGGTCTAAGAAACTTTTCAGGGCCTCTGTTTCGTTCATAAATTACGGAAAATCGTGCATCGGCAAATTTGTTAACCATATTCGGAATCAGCGCAAAATTCTGTACCGAGTTGATCAAAAATGGTCAAATGCTATAGCGCGTCACGAAATTTGAATTTTTATGTTTCGATCACTCGAGTTGGTGAAAACGGTGCGTCTACCATTAATATTTGCTGCCAACGCTTTTCAAAAATGAGACCAAGGGCAGACTAGCAGAGATGCTTTGAGAGAGAGAGAGAGAGAGAGAGAGAGAGAGAGAGAGTGAGAGGGAGAACGTACCATCCTATCCTGACAATGCTTCCTCCGCCTGTTACTCTGCTGAAATAACCCGGGAAAGAAGGCGATTGCCCTCAAGAATTGCAGCACCGGCGAGATTGTACGGCTGCAAAAAAAGTGTGTTTTAATGAAATTTCGACTCTCTTAATTTTTCGCTTTTCTAGTAAGCAGTCGATTTCTCGTGGAAAATAACGATTTCGCAAAATCCCAACCTGAAACAGCGGACATTCCGGAAGGGGAGCATTGTCGGGCCCTGCCGGACCGGAGACCTGAAATTGGTAAAATTTACTTGTTTTAGATCGTTCGGAAATAAAGGAATTTTGATATGTTATAAAACATTAATATGCTGTTCTTTGCATCTGAATTTTTTCCAAAAAATGTTTCAAAAATTTTCAAAGCTTCAAAAATTTTTGGAAAATTATTCCTGGTCATTAGCAGATCATGCGCCATCTATTTTTATTTTCAATTTTTTTTCCTTTTTTTAATTAGATATATTAAAACAAACATTAATGGCTTGAAGAGATTCAAAATTGGTACACAGGTTTTAAAAATGTTTTCGCCAAATGTGTTTCAAAACATTATCGATACTGGCAAATTTTTTGTGGTTTATTGAGTTCGTCGTTCGTTATATGTCAATGTATGTGTTTGTTTCAAGAAATGTTAATAACCTGACAAATTTTGGAAATTTAATCACTGGATATCCCATTTTCATTCATTATCTTCGGAATACACAACATAAAAACATCAAATTGCAAATGCGGCGATTGATTCATTCCCATTTTGTCGAGAAACATGTTTCGTCTAATATCAAAGAACAGGCTGTTCTAGGGAATTATTACAGCAGTAGCAACGCCACAAATGATGTTTATTTTAATTCACAAAGCCCAACCAATCCTCAATGGTCTCTGCCAGCCTGCCGTAATCGAATACCGTACCCGGCCTATGGTTATCCAAAAAGGGCTAGCATCGAATATTTAGCGTTATTATCTGCCGAAAATCTTTTAGGACATGAAAATGCTGGACCGTTTATTAGGGCAATCGAGTTTTTTTGTCAAAATCGGTGTTTCAAAAAATATCGATAACATCAAAATTTTCTGGCGTTCAGTGTAATTCTTCCGATCGCAATATTTATTTTTTTATGGCTAACCTGCGTTCACAATACCTTTTTGATGTTTTTGTTAATCCCTCAGTTATTTTCATAACTTAGAAATGCTTTTCAGTCTATTTTTAGGATAGCATTTACTTTTCTGAATTTACGCAAAAAAGTGTTACGAAAAATTTTAGCGATCCAAAAAATTCGATCTGTTTAATGGGGCCTTTCATTGTGGTCATTTTACCTATTTAATCCATATTTCGTTTATTACCTTGCATAATTCTATCAAGTAGAAAATTTTTTGTCTAATTTTGAATTTATGTCCTTATTTTAATTATTATTTTAATTATCAGCCAACAAAAGTTCCAAAATGAGTGTTTCGAAAAAATCGGGACAACCTAAAAATTTTCCGGCGTTGAAGGAAGCGGTATGCTGTTCGTTTACCTATATAATCAATCTGTTTTTATTACGCGAACGCTTACGAAAAATTGCAACCTTAAGGAATTGATTATTTCCAATTTTTCTAGAAACATGTTTCTCCTAAAATTAAAAAAAAAACAAAATTGTTTTAGGGAATTATTACAACCCTAGCCGCCTTCAAATTGATCCTTGACCCGATTTTCAAGACTAGTCAATTCCTCGATGTTCTCTGCCAGCCAGCCTTAATTTTAATAACGTACCCCTCGGGATGATGATCCAAAAAGGGCTCCTCCTCCTTCGGCAGCACCTCATCTCGCCACCCGTTCGTCATCAGCGACATCTGAACAATGGAAAAGATTTGCTTCATGTGTGTTTCGCAAATATTGGCAATCCGGAGATATTTTTGCGTCGCAGTCTATTCCTTGGATTTCGTCTTTATTTATTAATTTAAGAAGCTGGTATTTTTGCTTTTATTAATAGCTTATTTTATTGATAATTTTGCCAAATTTTGAAGTAGCGCTATCAAAACCAAAAGCCTTCCGTATTTTACAAAATTTTTAACAAAGCTTTGGAAAAAATATGTTTCGTAAAAACTACTCACAAAGCGAAATTTTGAATCCGTAGTAAACTGTGCCTCACGCGTGTAAAAAATAATTTATTTGTGATGTTTTTACTACCTTTATTAGGGCGAGAAACTCAGGATTTTTATTAAATCTTATCAAAATTAATGTTTCTTAAAAAACAGGGGCTCCGAGTACTTCTGGTGTCATAATGAATTGCCGCTTTCAGGTGTACTTCCGTTTGGAATATCTCAATGTACAAAAGAGAAAGCGAGACATAGAGAGAGATAGAGCGAGAGAGAGATATAAAGAGAGTGAGAGAAAGTGAGTGAGAGAGTGAGAGAGAGAGTGAGTGAGAGAGAAGGAGAGAGAGCGAGAGAGAGTGACAGAGAGTGATAGAGAGTGAGAGAGAGCGAGAGCAAAAGTCGTCATTAAACTTGCTGTCAAAAATTAAAAAAATCTTGCCTCCAGCGGACGGCAATGAATGAGAAAATGCAACAAGTGCGCTTCTCTGACTTTTCGTGATCATCAAAAAGCGTCGCTTTTTCTGCTCTCCCGCGTTTTTCATCTACTTATTTGCAGAGGGCGTTTGGGAACGCATAATTCCCCCTAGCTACGCCACTACGGAAATGTACACAGAAACAGATCGGAATCTCTGATTTCCTGAACTTTCGAATTAGATATCAATTTCGAATTAGATATTTTGTTGAGAAAATGAATACACCAGTGTAATTTAATGTAACATATTAATTTAATTGTTTTTTATTTACTTACTTACAATTTTATTACTTTTTATTAAGGATGAGAAAAATATGGACCTTTCGACCACAATGGTCGACTTTTGCCGTCAATATCAGTTATTTTTATTTTATTTAATTTTTTTGGCTAGTTTTTTACATTGTTCTATATATATATATAATCGAAGTATTAGGTTATTAAATATTCTATAAATAATAAAATATTTTTTCTAAATTACGAAAATTCACAAGCAAACAGATAGATTGCGCTAAAATGTCGTCCCCTACGTATTGAGAAAACGTGTTTCCTCCCGGCAATGCAACCAGTTGGAACATAAAATTTTAATTGGCGTCCTTGAAAATTTTGCTAATAGATAAAGTGTATACTGCTCATCAGAGGATATCGTCGAGCAATTTTTACCCAATTTTAAACAATTTAGGGTTTTATTTGGACCCTTAACCCCGGTGCAAAAATAGTGTTTATTTAATTTTCATGACAATAGGTACAGAATTTTGATAAGGTGAATTCATTCGCGTCAGCTCCGCATTCTATCGTACTCAAAAATCATCGTTTGAGAATGGCATTAAACGAAACATCCTATTTTTTTTATACTGGCATATTTTGGTGAGGAATTTTCCCATCCCGCATTGTGTGGAAGTAGACATCCGATACGGTATAATTAGGCGAAACACGTTTTTTTAACTTAAATTTGAAAAACTAGCATTCAGTCGTCTGAATTTTTGTGGTTTTTTATTTAATTTGATGATTTGGCTTACGCTTCGAAACGTAAAAATTATTTTTTTAAATAGAACGAACGACTGAACGAATACTACCTGTTTCGCACGGAGACGACAATGACGATTTTATGAAACTTCTTTTTTCGCAAAATGCGATTCCTTGAAAATCAGAAAGATCTCTCGACCTGAAATTGGCTCTCGATAAAGGAGAGCGGCAACTAATAAGTTATGAAACACCCAATTTCATCATTTTAAAGGGAACACGACACACAAAAGTTTGTCGAACCGACTGAATCTATCGGCCAGAGCCAATTACCGCAAAAACTGCAAAAATCCGATTACGTAATCTTAAAGAAAGCGTGACACCGTCCAGGAATTCCTGCAAATCCTAAGAAAGGTTGGCGGTCACGATTTCGAAAATCACCATTTCGAAAAATCGCGATTTCGAAAAACACCATTTCGAAAGTCACCATTTCGAAAAAACACTATTTCGAAAATCGAAAACGAAACGAAATTCGACCGGATTGAATCTTTCGGCCAGAGCCAATTGCCCCAAAAACTGCGAAACATCCGATTACGTAATCTTAACGGAAGCGTGACCCCGTCTAGGAATTCCTGCAAAACCTAAGAAAACTAGAACCTATATCAGCCAACCTTAAATCAGGCTTTAAAAAGGCGCGTGGTAACTAGTAAGTTATGAAACATCCAATTTCAACGTTTTAAAGAAAGCATGCCATGGAGATAATTTTTGTAATTTCTCGAATAATTGGCAAGAACAACTAGCCATCATTGAATTTTCTCGAAACGCCAGATCCCTCAAAAACTGCGAAACATCCGATTACGCCATCTTAAAGGGAGCGAGACACGAGCCGAGCTGAAACACCGTGATTTTGGTTCTGGACTGTTAGCGGGGAACGAAATTTTTCCCTATCACAAAATATAAACCATTTTTATAGCATTTTATATAGTTTTTAGCTTTAGAAACAATATAAAAAAAATTTCGACATTTTTTTACTTTTTTGTTGAAAAGCGATTGAACTATGAAAAACGAATAAAAATTAAAATGGACAGAAAAGGGTTTTTATAACTTTCTAGCAATCAAAAACACTAAAAATGCAAGAAAAAAACATTAATATTAATTTCAACAGAAACCAGTGATCTCCGAAACAAGGAAATTAGTCTTTTTGAGCGAGTTTGGCGCAACAGAGGGTTCATTGAAGATTTGAAATGGACGCGGAACCCAAAAATCTATGAAACATCAAAAAATTTTTATTTCCTTCAAAAAATATAAATTATACAAAATTCAAAATTCGGTGAAAAATCCAAAATAATCGCTGCTGGGCTGCCCTTAAAAGTATTAGGGTAACCTTTTAATGGGAGCAGGACTCTTTATAATTTTCGAAAAACGCGACAAAATTAAATTTCACCGAAATTATTTTAGACATTTTAATGTCGAAAAATAAAAATGATCTGTTTTTACCTCTTAACGCTCTTTAGAAACCCAAAAAATTGCGAATCATTAATCAAAAAAAAATAAAAAACCAATGAAAAATGAGCTACCGTATGCACCCACCTCGAGGATGTTGGCCATGAAGCTCTTGGGGACGAGGCTCCTCCGCTGCTGTACCAAAACTCGTTCGTCCCCGGCGTTTACGGTAGACAGTCGATTGAATGGGTACATTACTGGAAAAGTTGAAATTATTAATTCGATTCAAAAGATAAAAATTATATAAAATTTCAAGTTCGATAAAAAATCGAAAATTACCTTTGCTAGCTTGCGCTTAAAATTAATAGGGCAAGCTAGCGGAGATTCTTTGAGGATAGGAGATTTTGAGAACTTAGAAAACCAAGTTAGCGGAGATTCTTTGTAGAAAAAGGTGTTTTGTTAATTAGGGCAATTAGCGACGAGCATTTGGGCCAATAGTGTGCACTGATTTTCTACGATTCTTTGGACTAGAATTGAATGCCTAGCATATCCACGAAATCGCAAAATTTCGAAATTCTAGAAAACCGAGTTTCCAATATGCCAAAACCAAAAAAAAAATCGAAATTGCGAAATTCCTTATCCCTGTAATTAAGGCATGGCAGCATCGTTTTTCGGGAAAATGATGTTTCGGAAATTACAGAAACCTGGCGAATTTCCTTTGCGACAATTGGCTTTAATTAGCTTCAATCAATGTCACTTTTGAATTTGAGCGAAAATATTTGAAGCGGATTTTTGTGGCAGGCTAGCATAGACGATTGAGGAAATATGCGGCTCCGATCGGATATCTAGCAGCGATCATTTGCCGCTCTTTAAACGGCAAGCCAGCGGAAGCTCACAGCAAAAAAATGTTTCAGAATTGAGGTCAATCTAGCGGAAATTATTTTGGGGAATTCGCTCGTGGCTGATTGAGCGTGCTAACATAGAGAGAGAGAGAGAGAGAGCGAGAGAGAGAGAGAGAGAGAGAGAGAGAGAGAGAGCGAGCGAGAGAGAGAGAGAGGGGGTAGAGAGCGAGAGAGAGACAGAGAGAGAACGGGTGAGAGAAACAGTCTGAGAGATAGAGAGAGAGAGAGAGAGAGAGAGAGAGAGCGAGAGAGACAGAGAGACGGCTAGTGAGAGAGAGGGCAGGCTAGCAGAGATTCTTTGTGGAATGTACCAAAACTCGAAAAAGATTTCCCCAAAAGTTCAGGCTCACAAGTTCAGGCTCACGCCCTGCTTGTCAGCTCGGGGTTAATGGAAATTAGCGGGGAGTCTGGGGCCGGGCAGGTGCATTTCAGTTTTTAGCCCACAAGAGGGCTGTAAAAACAGAAATAAAAATTGGGTCTCGGGGTCTATGAATTGCACCTGGCCGATAATATGGATGTTAAGGTTTGAACCCCGCGCCGGGCGGGGCAGGTGCCAATTAAATTCGTATATTGTTTCACACGCAAAAATCGGGGGCCTTGAGCATTATCGGGGGGTGTATAATATTAGAAATGCCTAATATCACGATAGTGTGCATTTTGGCAATTAGTAATAAGTAAATTAGTAACATTTGACAATATTCAAAGTCAAAAACTACCTAAAAAAGCACGTGTTTTAGAAAAATGTTTCGCTTTTTCTGTGTCACCGGCGCGGATTAGATTGTTTTAATCGACAGATAGCTCTCGAGACATACTCAATATAAAATTATAGTTAAATTAAAAATTCTAATATCAATTAGTGGCTCGGTTAAGTTTTCAATTAGTAGCTAGTAATAACCGATTAACAAAAAAAAATTGCTTCTCAGAGTCGGTTAGATGAAAAAATTCGCAAATTTGACGGTCAGGCTGAAATTCGAACT